TTGCATGCGGTCATGCCCCTTGCACACGCGTCTTGCACGCGCGTTGCACGTGGTCATGCCCCTTGCACACGCATTTTGCACATGCATTGCATGCGGTCATGCACCTTGCACACGCACCTTGCACACGCATTGCACGCGTGTTGCATGCGGTCATGCCCCTTGCACACGCATCTTGCACGCGCGTTGCTCGCGTGTTGCATGCGGTCATGCACTTTGCAATGCACTTTGCACGTGCATTGCATGTGGTCATGCCCCTTGCACACGCATTTTGCACATGCATTGCATGCGGTCATGCACCTTACACATGGACCTTGCACATGCGTTGCACACGTGTTGCATGCGGTCATGCCCCTTGCACACGCATTGCATGCGGTCATGCGCCTTGCACGCGCGTTGCACCTGGTCATGCCCCTTGCACTCATGTTGCACACGTATTGCATGTAGTGATGCACCTTGCACACGCATTTTGCACATGTATTGCACGTGGTCATGCCCCTTGCACACGCACTTTGCACATGCATTGCATGCAGTCATGCACCTTGCACGCATGTTGCACGTGCATTGCACGCGGTCATGCCCCTTGCACACGTGTTGCATGCGGTCATGCCCCTTGCACACGCACTTTGCATGCGCATTGCATGCGGTCATGCACCTTGCACACGCACTTTGCACGTGCACGGCATATGGTCATGCCCCTTGCACGCATGTTGCACGCGCATTGCACGTGGTCATGCACCTTGCACACGCACCTTGCACGTGTGTTGCATGCGGTCATGCCCCTTGCACACGTGCCTTTGCATGCGCGTTGCATGCACACTGCACGCATGTCATGTGTGCATTGCACACGTGTGGCACGCACCTCTCACACGTGTTGCACGCCCCTTGCACGCGCACGTTGCATGCACGTTGCATGCGGTCATGCCCCTTGCACGCGCACTGCACGCGTGCCGTGTGCACATTGCACACGCACCTCGCACACATGTTGCACGCCCCTTGCACGCGCACGTTGCATGGGCCTTGCACACGCGTTGAGCCCACGTCACACACGTGTCACCATTGACCCTCCCCATTGGCCCTTCCATTGATCCCTGCCCATCCTTCACCCCTTCCATTGACCCTCCCCTCCCCACAGGGCCCCCCTCCCTCTCCATTGACCCCCTCCCCATTGACTGACCCCCTCAGCGACCCTCCCCTCCCATTGACCCCCCCTTCCAAAGACCCTCCCCATAGAACGATCCC